AGGCTATTATTCATTATAAGATTCCTTTGTACCACATCCTGACACACAATGCCCTAGGTAACAAAAAAAACAATGGCCAAGATCAAATCTCCATACATCAACAACCAAGATCAATTCCACCTTATCCTATGGTCCAAGTCAGAACACAGAGGTCATTGTTCATGATAAAATTCCTCTATATCACGGCCTGACACACACTGCCCTAGGTGACAGTAAAAAGCAATGGTCAAGATCAATTGCACCTTAACCTAAGGTCCAAATCATAGCACAAAGGTCATTGTTCATGATAAGATTCCTTTGTACCACGTCCTCACACTAGGAATGACAAAATGGGTCAATATTCCCATTTTGGCTCACCCCCGCCCTTGGCCCGCGAAAAATATAGTCAAGACGAGCTACAAACCCTAGCCTCGTCTTGTCGAAAGGGCGAACTAGCGGGCCAACGAGCCGACTTCGCCAATAATTTTTTTATATAAAGATTTTTATATATTTTAAAAAAATATATCTTTAATTATATGAATAATTTTTAAGTTTTTATTTATTCATTAATATTTTTATTGGACAAATTAAAAAATTATTATATTTATGTGTCAAAATAACTAATTATAAGTAATAATTTAAATTTAATTAATTAATTTTTATAATTTAAATTATAATATTATAATATATTTAGATATCTCAATAATATAACAAAAAATATATAATATTTTTAATTATAATCATTTTCATTTTAATATATAAATATTATTTTAAAGTAAGATACCTCGTCCTACCCCGCCCTTGGCCTACTAAATTGGCGACTGGGCGGGACATACCAAAATGGGTTGGCGGGCTAAAATCATTAACCCATCTTGCAACTTTTTAGGTGGGTTAGAGGGTTGTTTTTTCATCCCTATCTGATACACATTGCCTAGGTGACAACAAACAGTAATGACCAAGATCAATTCGTAGGGCATACATACTATGCACACTTACCTCTATATATAATGTCATTTGTAGCTTCTCGTTTGCAACACTTTCAGAGAAATATTATTAACTTTAGTTGTATTTTGTGTATTTGAAAAAAAGATATTATAATCATCGACAATTTTGTTATGAAAACAAGTTGAGCATATGTCTACTCCCATAAGAACAATGATAATATTTTTATGTTCATATTGTTTATATGTTCGTCTTTATTTTCTAATTATGTTAATTATATTTGACCATATTTACCTAAATTCTCTATTATTGCAAGACTCTGATAATAGTATTGTGTCTTCATACTGTCACTCAATGCCCAAGCCACACCCTCTAGTTGTTCCTATACTAGAGGAAACTAGCTTTGGGGGAGTGACAAGATTAAGACATCTAAAAGTATATCACGGTCTAGTCACGACTTTAGTGGAGAGATGGAGACCTGAAAAGCATACATTTCATCTACCTATAGGTGAATGTAGCATCACATCAGAAGATGTTGCACTACAGCTTGGACTGCGAGTTAATGGTCATCCGATCATTGGACCCACAATGTTCGACTGGAAAGAGATGTGTGACATGTAATTGGGAATTGTGCCAACGAAAGGTGAAACACTTATTGAAGGAATGGTTAAACCGAAGTAGTTAAGAGATAACATGTTGCCACTACTAAACGAACCATCAAAGGACCAACTCCATGCCCATGCTAGGGCATATATATTAGGTTAATTGGAGGTTTTTTTATGCCTGACAAAACAGACAACAAAGTACACCTCATGTATTTACAATTATTGACTAATTTACATATAACCAGGAGATATAGTTAGGGTTCTGCGTGTTTAGCTATTTTGTACAGGGAAATATGTAAAGCAACCGATGTCAGGACAAAAATAATGAGATTATGTTTCACTATTACAATCATGGGCATGGCATCGCATGGCATATATTGCACCAATTAGCTGCTTATAACCAACATATCCATTAGTGTGCAAATGGAGTGGAGACAAGGTTTTAAACTTTCAGAATGTATCATACAATGATCTGGTTGCGTACCGAGCAAGGATTGATCATATTTAACCTCATCAGGTAAACTCGGCTAACATTTTTATTGTTAAATCTATGTTTTAAATTAATTTTACTAACTACTTACTCATAATTTTGTTGTAGTTTTTATGGACACAATATTGAGAGTTCGAAACATCAATTGTACAGGCACAAGCATACTGGGATTCATTGTGGAGTGACATCAGTCTGATCAGGTCAAGTTTCAATTTGGTTTATCTCAAGAAGTCCTTTCTTCACCGCAAAATCTAGACAACCTGCACAAAATTGACATGTGAGGAAGACTGATGAAAATTGGCAAATAAGACATTCTGAATGGATCAAAATATGGAACAACAGACGAGACTTTGTACTACTACCAAGTCTACCATTGGAAGGGTCTTTCTATCACATGAGAGAATACATGGAATGGTACACTGCCAGATCCATTTATTTATTGTTTGTGATATAACTACTTCAAGATCTAAGAAATCAACAACGTGCACACAACCAATCACGCACATTTGAAACTGACTCATCCGCTACACTATCATTTCATATGCCTCCACACCAACCATTCACAAGTACTTTCTACTGAACACCTCCACCATAACAGGCAATGGATCCTACTCGAGTTTTTTTTGCATCAAGTTCAAATGATTTTTTCTCAATTTTATTTGGACAAAATCCTATAACACCCTCATTTGTCCATGATTATATGCAATCAATCTACCCACCACAATATCATCATAAAGGAACTAGTACCTTTGTCTTCCTTCCCCATGAACCACTTGAACAACAACCACAACCGCAAGAAGGACTATCCCAAGAAGAACATCAAAGAAGAAATCCACAACATAATAGATAATATCCTCGTTGTGGAACTTGTCACCATTACAGAGACTAGTTTAACTTTTCTGTAATGTATAATAACTTTTGTGTAATGCATAATAATTATACTTTAACTTTTTTTGTAATGCATATTAACTTTTCCGTAATTCATTTTAAGTGTACTTTTTTTATTTAAATGTTATTTTCAAGTATCCAACTTTATCAATTTCTTAAAATATAACAAAAATTAACTAAATTTCAAATAACAAGAAAAATTACTAAATATTATTTTATAAAATATTTATATATAATTATTCAATATTAAAATTTAAACAAGTTTCATCATAACTAATGAATTAACTTAATGGCAGCAAAAAGTAATGGTCAAAATTGAATCCCCAAAGATTAACGATCCACATTTAACACATACTGCCTAATATGTACACTATCCAAGACCAACCTCGAAATATTGTTCAGGATAAGATTCCTATGTACCATATATTGTTCAAGGTGTCAACAAAAAGTAATGGTCAAAAATTGAATCTCCAAATATCAATGATCCACATTTAACACACATTGTCCAACGTCAAAGTCAAGTCATCATTATGCTATCCAAGGTCCAACTCAAAATAAAAAGTATAATCATTTATTATGGGGCATTTTCGTCTGTATAATACAGTAAATGACATAAATAAGTTTAGGTTTGGTCTCAAAAAATTTGTCAACTCATCTTTCCTATCAACACTCGTATTCAACCTTTGTGTTATATATTCTTCTTTTTACTCTTCAAATGAAGGAACTTGGCATAACAAATATTGAAAATTTTTTGTAACTCTTACTTTGCAGTAGTGTTTGCAAATGGACAAATCACAACAAACGAAGAAGGATTGTACTTTCAATGTGCATCTCCTAAACTTTTTTAAATTCCACACAGTTGCATATTCATCATTCTGAAAGAAAAAAATATGCATTTCTTTAGGAATTCCTATAGGCACCTCAATCAACAAGTTGTATTACCAATATCTCTTGATATATGATCTTTTAATATTTTTATATCATAAATTTAAATATCTATAAATACAAAAATATAAATATATATATATATATATTAATTAAATATAAAAATATATGATTATATATTTATAAAATCTATACAAATAAAATATATATATATATATATATATATATATATCTTTATTAAATATATAAATATAAGTATTTATTAAATATCTTATTATATAAATCCATATTTATTAAATTTATATAAATATTAAAACATATCAAAATATTTAATATATAAATATGTATTAATTATGACCCACACATTCCCATTATAAGTACATATCAAAATATTCCCACGTGATACATTCTCGTTAGGAATTGGGAGATCTATCTAGGTATATAATTCTTTTTTGAAAATAAAATTGAAAAAAATCTTTTATATAATTTATATTAAACAATTTCAATCATTTTTATTATATAATCTTATAATTTATTTATATTTTTCTACTTTTATTTTACATTAAAGTTATCATTAAATAAATTATTATATACATTAAAGTTATTATTCAATAAATTATTATTCATATGATATCTTGTATAAATTTATTTACTATTTATTATTCTTATAAATTATTAATTTTATCGGTTTTTTCTTCAACTAATTTATATTAAATATATTTGTATTTACTATATTTATAAAAATATATTAATAATATAATTATATAAATATATAAATATATTTTTATGATATATAAAATATATATATATATATATATATTGATATAGTTATATAAATAAATATTTAAAATTTATAAATATATATTATATTTATATATTTATTAAATATTTTTCATTTTAAAAAAATTATTAAAATACATATCAGAATTCAGCCAGCGTAAAACCAAATTCTGATTTTTTATTAAAGTGTGTTATTCGTGAAAATTTTGTGAACATAATACTATGTTAAGATATTTAGGTTCAAATAATGCTATTGAAAAAAAAATTCTAATTATACATATCATAAATATCACTAAAACTCCTCAACTTTTAAGGAATTGATCTTAGAGATGATAAATTTGAACTTAAAGAACTTAAGAAAGAGAACTTTAATGTATCTAGGATTAATTCCACACATTCAAATTGTGAATTTACTAAAAAATTATTGAAACAATTTTCTCCTCTGCCTTGTCATCAAATATCACATCTGATCAACTTCTTAGTAGAGTTTATACTTCTTGACATGGTACTATAACAAATAAAAATGGATATTAAGCTTATTCTTTAAGTTATGTTCTATTTTTATTTCTTCTAACTTGAACATAATAAATCACCACAGCCAAAACTTTTTCTACAAGATAAACTTTATCATCTCGCTCACATAAATGATGCTTATTAGATTATATACAGACGTATATCTCTATTCTAACTTATCCTTATTCCTGGGCATTATTAGATTATTTAGCACTGTTACTTACATTTTAGAGATAATTTTTTTTAAATGTGATAACAATTAAAATAATAAAAAAATCACATAAATATTACTAAATATTCTTAAAATTGTAAATAAACATTCAAATTTCACCAGACACTAGTAACAATACATTCTTTATCAATGCAATCATGTTATCTTGAGAATTTTATTTTATTTTGTAAGTGATCACCTTCTAATCCAGAGGCGAAAAGGTTAAATAAATGTACTAAATACAGACCAAAGTAAAAGTCTGGAGCTGAGAAATGCTCCACTCATTTTCTTTCTTATTAAATTTCCATCCGAGATTAAATTAACATAGCAATCACAAGCTTGACATCCGAACATGAAAGATTCATCCCTTGCCAACTGAGTTAATAAATAACCTTCAGTCCACGATGCATGTGCTGCCACACCAATATGTTCCGCAGAAAACAATGCTTTGAAAGATGGTGCTTGTAACTTTAATTGATCACCTGTATAAGCTTTCATATCTTGGAATACACCCTCATAAAATGTAGGACAAAATCCTAGTGAAGATCAAAGTGTAGAGGACTGAGAGACCAGCACCAACTGGAATAGTGACTACCCATGAAACCACAATCTCCTTCACAGTTTCCGATCTAAGACTATTCAGCCCCCTTGCAAATCCAACACCCATTACTGCACCTACTAGAGTATGGGTTGCAGAGATGGGTAACCCCAGCTTTGAAGCAAACAGAACCACAGAGGCAGCAGCAAACTCAGCTGCAAATCCTCTTGTTGGTGTAAGTTCTGTAATCTTCTTTCCTATTGTAGCTATCACTCTATAACCCCACATCATTAGCCCTGCAACAATTCCAAATCCTCCCCAAGCTAGAACATCAGTTGGAATAACAATCTGAGCTCCCATAGCACCACCTTGAAGGATAGCCAGTGCACCTGCCAATGGACCTATGGCGTTGGAGACATCATTTCCCCCATGAGCAAATGACATGAAACATGCTGAAAGGACCTGCATGTAACCAAAGACTCCATAAACTATTTCCAATTGAGCACCCTTAGGACCTGCAACATCATCGAGAAATCCTATATTGTGGTGGACAGTGTCTTCTTTTGGCTCAGGCTTTGGAGTATTTGATTTGATAAGAAGATGGCCGAGTTGTTTTCTGATGATTCTGTCAACCAGAAAAGCACCAACAGTTCCAACGATTAAAGCTTGGGCCAGAGCTAAAGGAAAGCTATTGCTAAGGGGGAGGGCAACAAATGAAATCCCCGTAACACCCAGAAATACAGCAATTGGTGCCGCCGCAGCTGCTGCTAGACCGGGATTTGGTGCACTGTACACAAACTGGATGGGGGAAAAGATTAAGAGCAGGAATTTTAGCATATTTTCCTATTCACTATTCACAATGTCAAATTTTGAAGTAGCAGTTTCTTCAAGCTAAAAAGTTCGAACATAGAGTCAATAATAAATCTTGAGCACAGAATATTCGAGTTTAATTTTGATGCACTCCTCATATATAGACAATTTTTACATTGTTCCAATCATGTATTCTCATATCTTGTATGCTCTGTTTGTTTGCTGGAGAATAGAGAAATAAGTCGAATGAGAATAAAATGGATGACTGCGAATAGGCAAGAAATAAAATGAAGGTTAAAAATGTTTGATCTAGAAAAATAGAAGAAAAATGCAGAGAAAGATATAAACATGAATGAAAATAACTGAAAAATGTTATAGTAGATTTTACAATTCTTTAAGATTTCTTTTTTTTTTTATGTCTTGCCCACCAAAAACCTACATTAGTTTTATCCTTTAACCAAACACACCATTAATGAGTTTAACAGTTAAACTATGAGATGTCGGATACAGTTTAAACTTTTTTTTCCATTCAGAGGTGCATATAAATTAAAATCAAACAATTTTGGTCTGAAAGAAGCTTTCTTTTGAAATTTGATTACTTTATCCTAGCCTGCCTTTGAAACCAGATCGGGAAATGCTAGAGCCCTGAAGACGGCATGTTGGATTGAAGAGCTTACCCTTCGGATACACTTATAGACAAGAAATGACACAGCTGCTCCCATAAGTGGTGAGACAACCCACGAAGAGATCACCCTCGCTAGTGAACCCCAGAAAACAGCTCCAGGACCTCCATATGCTAAACCAAACCCCACCATTGCTCCTACTATACAATGTGTAGTAGATACTGGCCAACCATAATATGATGCAATCTGCATATTGCAAAATAATAAATAGATGCGGAATTTCATTGGATTGTTTGAATATATAAACAAAGCATTATTCTTGATTTATCTCTTGAACAAAGCTATAACTTCAAACACTAGGCCCAGATTGGTACTATTTTCCCGTTGGATAAATCTCTTCATAATTAATTGTTGAGAAGAAAATTTTACAAGTACTAAGAGAAAAATTTATTTAAACATGAACACATATGTTACTTATAGGAAACAATGAGCATCTGACTCCAGTAACTTTAAAGTCTAATCTGCAAAGAAACCAGAAGTGCCTTTGCTAATACGAATTTGAGTTCATTTTTTTCCATTTTCCTCAGTCATTCAAGAAGATACAATTTTTGTATGCAAATATCAAAAGGAAACTTGGTTTCAAAAGCATAGTTATAGAATTTTCTTAGTAACCATGTGTGGGACATCCTAAATTCACTATACAACATGCTGCATGCTAAGTATCCACTAGCGGAACTGACCATACTAAGAACCCTTCACCGGTCAAACCTTCCGTAGCTAGTCCTTTGGAGACATTGCCAATTGTTTTTTCCAAAAATCTTTGCGACTTTAAATTATGATTGAAGTGAAAAAACTTAGTTATAATCTATTTCTAAGCATTTTTTATTGGGTTGTTCTGCCTTGGGTCTAGAATTATTTACTCATCAGCCCAGGGTTTTATTATTATGTCTATTAAATAGCTTAATTCTCGTTATACAAGATTTGTGGTCATAGATTATAATTTTAGATGAAATTTTTGGAATTGCATCCCTTGAAAATGTTTTGCCTTGTGACAGACGCAAGGGTTCGATCACAAAACAAGACCCTTTATTCAAACATCACATAGCCTCTCAACCTCAAATCATGAAGGTTTAAGAAAATCATTGACAACGATATTATGTTGAGTCCTTCGACCCAGCTATCACATAGTCATTTAGCCTCAAGTCCCAAACATTGAGGCTTAAGTGGATCATCATAACTCATTTTCAACCTTAGAAATCGTACATGTGATATTGTGATATTAGAAATTATGCCAAAATCACATAGGGTAATGCGGACCTCACACGGTCATATCGAACCTTACAGGGTCGTTACGTCAGACCTCATAGGGTCGTAGTGTGTGTTGGACCTTATAGGATTGTCGTATCGAACCTCACAAAATTGTTGTGTTGGATGTCACAACGTCATCATGTCTATCGGACCTCATAGGATCGTCGTATCGTGTCAAAGCTCACAAAGTCATCATGTCGTGTCGGACCACACAAGGTCGTTGTGTCGTGTTGGATCTCACAGGATCGTCGTATTATATTGGACCCCACAGGGTCATCATGTTGTATTGGACCTCACAGGGTCGTCGCATTGTGTCGCATCTCACAAAGTGATTGTGTCGTGTCAAATCACACAGGATCGTCGTGTCATGTCAGACCTCATAGGTCGTCATGTTGTGTCGGACCTTACACGGTTGTCGTGTAATGTCGAACCTCACGGAGTCATCATGTTGGACCATACAGGGTCGTCATGCCAGTCAAAACCTTAGGGCAAATCTGTTACGTGCACATTGGTGATGCTTATATATTGTTCATGAAAATTTGTGCTTGAACCCACAGAGGTATGTAAACTTGTTGTCTTTTCTAGATTAATTACTCAAGTCATCATCAATCAAACAAGAAATTTATTTTCCTCCGTAAAAGAAAGTATTCTCCTTATTATCTTCTCACAGAGGTTTCTTGTTCCTCTCATTTTTTTCTTGACTTTTTCCCTTTCGTATAATAGGAAACACTTTACCGTTTCCCACGTAATGTGTCTAATGTTGTTGCCAAAAATCCTTGGGACTTTGATAGTTATGATTCAAATAAAAAAAACGTAATTGTAACATAACTTTAAGCCCCTTTTTTAATTTTGCTTTGGATCTAGAATTCTTGGACTAGGGTATGGGATTTTGTTATATGTCTATTAAATAACTTGATTCTCGCTATACAGGATTTATGGTGATAGATCATAATTTTAGGCAAGATTTTTGGAATCACATCCCTTGAGGACATCTCGCCTTGTGACCCTAACAATGTTATTATAGCGGATATGGGATTGATATATTCTCGTTTCTAGAGGAACATTGATGACCACTATGGGACCGAGAGTAGAATATCGATTCACTCATATCCCTTAGTCCTTGACTAGGGAACTTATGTTCCGGTACGTTCATAAGTCCCACATCAGTTAAGAGTTGAGGTCAAGGTTAATTTATATACACCCCTCCTTTCCCAATTTCCCAATCCATCAAGACGTTTTTTTAAGGATAAAATCTTGACATACTAAAACTTCAAAGTTGACAATACTCTAATCATAAAAATTAACTCTAACAATGTTATCAAGATAAATATCTATGTTCTTCACACTTATTAAAAGGGGAAACAAACCCCAAAATACTGACCGACTATCTCGTATTGTTCGAATGCGCGACTTAAGCATCCTATAATACTCAAATTTCTATGAATTCTTTTTAGAGGAAGTCTTGCAATAAAATGTGAAATGTAAAATGTAACACACACATGATCCTGAACCCATACCACATACTTGGTAACTATGTTAAAAGTATACATTAATCAATTTTAACGTTGCTTCTTATACCCACTACATTCCAACTACAGCAACGCATCCTACATAAGTGTAAGGGGAAATACTAAGCAGCAGCTGCCGACTTATATGCAAAAAATGCATGCATGTGTTAACTGCCACCCTCTCGGATACAGACTAATATCTTGACACTTTAATATCATCATACATTAAGGAACATATACTATAATATCTTAAAGATTACATGTTTACCATGCCCAAGAGAATATATATTGTATGGTACGAGCCGTGATAACCCTTTATTCTTTTGAGGAAAAGGGTTATCTAGTCAAGCCATTGTTTTGTATATTCCTCAACATTGTAGTTTAATAACAAAATATTCATGCATTTAGTGTCAAATTAGTCCCTACCGTTATAATTTGAAAAAATTACACAGTAACAGCTAATTTTGTTTTATTACAACTGCTTGTATTAAATTATTATAATGTTATTAAAAACAGTTATCAATTGATGAAACAAAACCAGTTATGATATAACAACTCTGAAACAATCATTTTTCTTTTGTTTTTTATTTTGTTGTTTAGATTACCTGCAACCAAGTACCAGCAGCAGCGAGAGAAGAGAGCAAGCCAGCGAAGAGCAGGGTATCCTTCCCATTGAACACAGTGGTCAACAGAATCCCCTTCTGCATCGTGCTCGTCACGTGCGTCCCCATCAAAAGCGCCCCGGAGAACTCCAGCACCGCCGCCGTCAGCACCGCCTGCCTCAGCGTCAGCGCCCCCGACCCCACCGAGGTTCCCATAGCGTTCGCCACGTCATTGGCGCCAATGTTCCACGCCATGTAGAACCCGAACAGCAGAGTCGCGTACGAAAGCACCTTCGTCTTCAACGCCAGCCCCTGCCCCAGCGACTTCATCATCAGCGGGAAGCTCAGAACCGCCAACGCCATGCATATCGATATGGCCGACGCGGTTCCCGATGACACGTTGAAGGCCTTCGCCAGTCCATCCACCTCATCGCCGTTCGCCGCTCCCTCCTTCCGCTCCTCTGCCTCCCCTTCCGCGAAAGATGACAGCGTGGCGAAGCGCTTGCCGGCGCTCAATTGTCTGAACCTGAGAATGTTGAGAGAGGAAGGTTTCGCTGCTATCGGCGGTAGTGAGGGAACGAGAGTCTTGACGCGGTGAGAGTGTCGGAGGAAGAAAGGGGAAGTGGTGTGAGTGTTTTGAAGGAAGGGAGTGTGTTTAGTCGTAGCGAAGCGACAGGAGGGATTCATGTTGGTTAAAGAACGATGAATGATGTGAAACAGTGTGTCTGTGTGTGAGATTATTCTGAAGAATTGTTGGCCGTGGAGAGGTGAAGGTTGTTGTGGTGGTGGTGGTTGAGGAAGAGAGCATAGCCAAGTTGTGATGTGAAGCTTGGTTTTGTGGTAGAGGGGAATGAGTGGTGATCGGTGATTCTTTGTTGCGTTTTCACCAAACATATATCCATAGCTACAAAATATTTGTCAGAAAACTTATGGTTCACAATCCGAAGACAAATTCCCTCGCACCATTATCCTCAACCAAACACAGAGTTCCACATTTGCTGTCTCAACATCTTACACGTGTACAGATTGGCTTCGCTTTTCCACCTAACAAATAAATTAATTACTTCAAAGATTGAACCAAACAATTAAGTTACAGTGAAAGGTCAATTAGGTTAGATTCTCCAAGACACTAATTCAGTCATTAGATTTTCCACCTAACTGTAAATTTTTTACCTTTTTTTTTTTTTTTAACCCCCGTGACGTGCACTAGCCAATAATTAGCTTGCTTGCTTTGTCTGGTTCCCTGTTTCTTCACCTGTTGCTCTTTTTTGGGGACTTGCTGTTTTCAAGTACAATATTATGTCGTTGCACTAGCAACTCTGACGAGTAGCATGCAAATATTTGTTTTATGGAAAAAGTTCAACAAGAAGATCTGGAAAATAAAAAACTTTATAATAACAGTGGTTATATATATGAAAAATTGTGTTTTTGGTGGAAACAATAAAAGAACTTTTGTGGTATAAATAAAGTTGGTAAGGAAATTTTACCTATAATTAAAAATATTTTACTTGTAAAACGATTTAAGTATAATTTATTTAACATTAATAGATTTTGTGATAATTGTGACGTATGCCTTATTTTAATATTATATTAATATTATTGTGCAAGAAAACTTCGTAACGAAGTTTTCCTCATGCACGATAAAAATTTTCTTATATATGAATACTGAAGCGGGGAGGAGGGAAATCAAAAATTTTCCTCTCATCCTTCTTCTTTTATTGTCTAAATTTCAAGCAACGAGACTCTACTCGTGCAGGATCCGGTGAAACGGAGAGAACTTGAATTAAGTGGGAAAGCTTCGGTAGAAATACCATACCAAGTAAGGGGAAGTTTAATTCATTCAATATATGAAATTGAATTGTTGAGTACTCTGTGAATAAGGAATAGGAGTAGAGATATGAAGTATTGGAATGTCTAATTTTGAAGAATGTTTAATTTTAAAGAATTTCTGATTTTGATGAACAGTTCATCATTTGAAAGTTTTTTTTTAATTATTGAAATTAAGGATGAATTATATACTAAAATTGTTGTTTTTAACTTAAATTGAACATGTTTATGGTTAAATTTTGATTTGGAACTAATTTGGGTGATTGAAACTGAGAAATTTGAAATCTGGATTTCGAAAATGGCGAACTGGAAAATCTGCAAAAGTCGCTCAAGCGAAAAATACATCGCTTGAGAGAGGACACCTGGAAAATTTGGGACTCTCGGGTCCTGTCTCGCTCAAGCGACCGGTGTACTCGTTTGAGCGACGAAGCCTTCAAACAAAGGGGACTCTCGGGTTCTGTATCGCTCAAGCGATCGGTGTACTCGTTTGAGCGAGCGAAGGAAGAAGAAAGGGATATGTTGGGGATTTTTTAAAAAGATCAAGGGTAAACTAGTCATTTTACATCACAGGGACATAAATGGAATTTTCAAAAATGTCCAAGGGTAAAATAGTCATTTAGGGACATACATGGAATTTTAAGAAAAGATTAAGGGCAAAATAATAATTTAATGATTTCGAAAATGATTTCGAAAATAGTTTCAGAAATAGTTTCGGAAATGATTTTAGAAAAATATATATATAAAGAGAGAGAGAATGAAAGTAGAGTGTTGTGACGTGTGTGGGTCAGACTAAGCCTGAGGGTTGATGCCCAGAATCAGTCCTGAGACGTTATATATTGGCTAGACTGAGCCAGAAGGTTGGTGCCAGAATCAGTCAAATACTATTTTTATTGACCCGAATGAGTCGTGAGGACAGGTGGTCCAGAATCCGGCAAATGTGAATAAATTGTGTATGTTTGAATGGTACCCGGGGTGGTACAGAGTACATTAGTGTAATAACTATGTCGTAGGATTCTGAATGAGGTCCCAGACTTCACTGATTGGTCGGGTCAGGTAGACTACGAGATCAGGTGGTGAGAAGTCGATGGGGGGATGACTGGTGGCGCGCTCGGAGGGGTACTCCAGTATGAGTGATGAAGGGCGCCAGTAATCCTACTCTGTGTGGAGGGTGGTCAGAATGGTACTGCGGGTATCGATCACAATGTGCCCACAGATGATAGCCTCTGAGTTCGAGCATAGTTAGGGTATACTTCCGGAAGGTGTCTTAGTGTGTTGATAATTTCGTAATTGATCATAATATATAATTATTACTTTTATATCTGTTTTATTATATCGAATGATTTAATACTTACCCCTATTTTTCCATGTGGATGGAACTGCGATGATCACTTTTATGTGGGAGCAGATCAGGAGTTGAGAGATGGTGATGTGACTACTAGACAGCAGGGATAGTTCGGTGGGATAGCTTCGAGGGAGCTACTTTTACATGTATAATATATAAATAAATTATGTTACTATATTTTGAAGTTCGTTAGTGAACTGGAATTTCAATATATGTTACAATTACGAGTAATATAATGTAAAATAAATGTTGTTATTTACTTGTTTACTACTTTGCGAAGACATTATTATAGTAGCGATTCTAGGGTCGTTACAATAATAATTTTTTTAACATTTATGGCTAGATACGAGATAAAAATGTATTATTCTTTATGAAAAGAAAAATAATTTAAATATGAATGATGAACAATTAAATAATTTAAATATAACAGATTTGATTTTTAAATAAGTTTAAAAATAGTTATGGAATCAAAAATTTGTGCACGTTAATATCAATATGGAATATATTTTAAAAATTTGTGAAAATTCTTTAATTAAAAGATTATTTAAAATATATTTGAAAACTCATCTTTAATTGAAGAAACGATTAGGAAATCTATTACACTTTTGAATTTATTTCAACCACAAGAGATTGTGTATGAATTTGTTGGTTCCATAAGAACCCTAACTCTTGAATAAAATATATAGGAGTTTGTCATTATTAATAACTATTCTAAATTTACATAAATATATTTTCAACTCGAGCATGAGCCTTTTAAGGTTTTTGAAATAATATGTAAAAGAGTTCAAAATGAGAAAAAAAAAATTACATTTCTTCCATAGTAATAAATCATGGAATTGAATTTGAAAATATAGACTTCAAAATATTTTTGTCAACAAAATAAAATTTTTTGTAACTTATATCTTATAAGAACACTTTAATGAAATAAGATAGGTGGGAGAAGAAATAGAATGGGATAGAAGATTATTCTATCATGCCATGTAAAATATTTAATTCTTGAATATTATTAAATAGAAGTTGTGAACAAAATAAATTATTGACAAAACTTATAATTGAAAATACTCCGTATGAACTATAAAAAGGAAAGAGATATAATATATAAGATAATCAATGGACATGAATATTTCATCCTTAACACTAAGAATCAACTTGAAAAGTTTGATTTTAAGATGACAAAGAAATATTTATTGTAAATATATTGTAAATTTTGAATACAATATGAATGAATTACATATATTAAAAAATTATTTAGAATAAGATCAAACAAAGAGAGATGATATAGAACAAAATTAGACTTAAAAAAGGAAAAAAAATGAAATAAGGTTAGATGAATGAAGAGTTGTTGAAACAACTCATAATCAAATTGCCATAAAGAATATTAATTTATTATTCACCGTGTGAAATAAGATTAAAATAAGAAAGACAAAACAAAAAAATAGACTACACCTGGCTAGATAAAATAAGTCAAACTCATGAAGAATTGACTAAACAATTCATATATAGTCAAATTATGTCAGGAAGAACATAAACCTATTATCATATCAAATACCAAATTCAAGGTTTCAAAAGCTTATCTTCTCTTAGAAATCAAAGTGCATATGTACACGCTTGTCTCAAAAATAAAACTGAAAACGATATAAAAAGCACCAAATTAGATTTTGACAATGTAAGATAACTAAATCAATTGGTGATGAATAATAAATGAAATATAGTACCAAAACCCTCCAAAAAATACATTTTTGAGCTATGAGTATTCTGAAACAAGTTGAGTTAAGAAAGTAGAGTAGTACAAAATAAAGGCAAGGTAACAGTATAAGGTTACAATCAATAAGATATTAACTTTATTTAAACCTTTGTACCTATTTTGTTGTTAACAAGGACATAAAATTATTTCAAATGGATATGAAAATTCATTTTTAATGGAGAGATTAAGAAAGTCTATATTAGACAATCTTTAAATTTTAACGATTGCACTTATTCCTACCAGTTATTAAACTTAAAAAAAAAAACACCTTGAATTTGGTATGATAGATTAATCAATATTTTTATACAGGATGATTTTTTGAGAGGAATACAAAATGTTTAGAAAAAAAAACTAAAAAAATAGTTTATTATTGTGAACTCAAAATGAGTATATGATGAAAGAGTTGAAGTTCGTCCTTTGACAATAAAGGAAACCGACAAAATTCAAGTTTTCATGAGGAAAAGTTGGTAAAAGAGTTATTAAAAAAAGTTTAACAGGAAAAATTGTAAATCTATGAACACTTTCACACATCCATCTATGAGTTTGATAGAAAATAAGCAACATAAACTAATATATCATAAAACCTTTAGAGGTATGACTAAATATCCTTTGTATTTGATTTTAAGTAGGCCTAACAACATTTTAATGTAGGTCTACTTCCTCATTTTCAATTAGATCCTAATCTTTAAAAGTTGGTAAGAGAATTTTTAGATATCTATAAGGTGCTGCTAACCTTAGTTTGTTCTATAAAAAATGTTAAAACTTTAGTAGTATACCATGATCTTGAATATGTTAGAGATAGATAAGAAGGAAAAAGCATTAATAGAAAATATTATTTTATTAGATCATGTCTAATATCATCAACAAATAGAAAGGAAAACATTGTAGTTGTTTTCATAGTAGAAAAAAAATTATATATTTGTAGTTAGATGTTTGTATTCAAGCCTTTATAACAACATATATTATGATATTACTAGACTCATTAACCTCTCTAAAATTTCTATTTAACGCTCCAAATACGCATTAAAATTAAGTACCATTTTGTTAGAGATTGTGTTCAAAAGGTGTTTTTAATATAAAATTAATAGATATTGATA